CACATGCAAGCAGTTTCATGGACAGAGATAGAAATATCGGTTAGAAATGTAGCAAGAGGGGAGATCTAAAGATGCAACAACTATCATGGGTTGCTAATATGACTAGGATAATTTATTTGGCTGCTGGACAATGAAATAAAGTTGATTTGAAAACCAGGAGAATGCAAATCTTGGTGGGATTTTGGCTATAGACTACTTTGAAGCAAGGTAAGACATGCCTCATAATATGAAGTAAAACGTCCATGTTTCAAGCAATTAAGAAACAGGAAATATATAGCAATGCAAATAATAGGCCTAACGGTCTTCTGGTAGATGGAAAGGCTTTCCCCAAAACCTTTTCAATTACAGTGCCTTCAGAAAGTATTCAGACCCCTTGACTTTTTACACATTTTGTTACATTACAGCCTTATTCTAAAATGGATTAAATAAATAAAAATGTATCATCAATCTACACACAATATCCCATAATGATGAAGTGAAAACAGGTTTTTAGATATTTTTGCAAATGTATGAAAACAAAAAAACTCAAATATCACATTTACATAAGTATTCAGACCCTTTGCTATGAGATCCGAAATTCAGCTTAGGTGCATCCTGTTTCCATTGATCATCCTTGAGATGTTTCTACAACTTGATTGGAGTCCACCTGTGGTAAATTCAATTGATTGGACATGATTTGGAAAGGCAACACCTGTCTATATAAGATCCCACAGTTGACAGTGCATGTCAGAGCAAAAACCAAGCCATGAGGTCGAAGGAATTCTGGGGAAGGGTACTTAAAAATGTCTGCAGCATTGAAGGTGCCCAAGAACACAGTGGCTTCCATCATTCTTAAATGGAAGAAGTTTGGAACCACCAAGACTCTGCCTAGAGCTGGCCGCCCGGCCAAATTGAGCAATCGGGGGAGAAGGGCCTTGGTCAGGGAGGTGACCAAGAACCCGATGTTCACTCTGACAGAACTCCAGAGTTCCTCTGTGGAGATGGGAGAACATTCCTTTATGGTAGAGTGGCCAGACGGAAGCCACTCCTCAGTGGAGTTTGCCAAAAGGCACCTAAAGGACTCTCAGACCATGAGAAACAGGATTCTCTGGTCTGATGAAACCAAGATTGAACTCTTTGGCCTGAATGCCAAGTGTCACGTCTGGAGGAAACCTGGCACCATTCCTACAGTGAAGCATGGTGGTGGCAGCATCATGCTTTGGGGATGTTTATCAGTGGCAGGGACTGGGAGACTAGTCAGGATCGAGGGAAAGATGAACGGAGTAAAGTACAGAGAGATCCTTGATAAAAACCTGCTCCAGAGCACTCAGGACCTCAGACTGGGGTGAAGGTTCACTTTCTAACAGGACAACAACCCTAAGCACACAGCCAAGACAACACAGGAGTGGCTTCGGGACAAGTCTCTGAATGTCCTTGAGTTGCCCTCCCAGAGCCTGGACTTGAACCCGATTGAACATCTCTGGAGAGACCGTCCCCGGGGCCGGTGTCGGCGAGCTGCTGGAGCTGCGCGTCAAGGGGGGTGGGGGGGGGGGGGGGGGTACTGTCACAACGTCCTCCGAGGCTGCCTCCTCTCCTTGTTCGAGCAGGCTTCGGCGTTCGTCGTCACCGGCCTTCTAGCCACTGCCGCTCCTCATCTCATCATTCCATTTGTTTTGTCTTGTTTATTACACACACCTGGTTCATATCCCCTCATCAGTACCTGTATAAGTGTTCACTCTGCCCCCTTGTCTTTGTGTGTTATTGTTTATTGTGGAGGTGAGATTAGCTCGGTGGAGCTCTTTGTATTTTGTATCGCCGTGATATTTCACCCGTGTGCCTTGTTGTTCTCCAGTGCGCCTGATTTCCGCACTGGAGTGTTTGACGCATTGCTGCGTACCGCTGTGTTTTCGGAATAAACCTTTTATTCTGTGATGTACCCTCCTGCGCCTGACTCCTTCAAAATCACTCACCACAACCTGGCAGAATGATATTATGATTATTTGCATTAATCCAGTGGCCATTTGTTTTGCAAACACCTACTCATGTGTGCTACAGCAACACTGCTTACCAAACAACAGTGCTAGGTGCCTGCACAGTTGAATTAAAGGGTAACTACACTCAAAAATCTAAATGTATTCAATTTTTCCCAGACCTCAAAAGCGGTCTCCTAATGTGGTTTAAGCATTGTTGTGAACATTCAATTTTGTTGTTTTTCTATTAAAAGTGTGATTTGACTGCGAAAACCTGAGAAATTATGGGAAAATCTGAAACCTGTGAATTTCTGACAATTGAAGGTCTCATTTATCTATTTCAATAGTAGGCCTAATACTGCATTAGCCTACTTGCATGATATGGGATGTATCATGTGATGTCATTCAGATAGTATGTCACTGTTTCTCATAGAAATGTTCACACAGTGCGCCTTTCCTTCTCTGGGTGGGCCTTTTGGGAAATGTTGGACAAAATTAGAGTATACCCACTTCTCCACGCACATCTACACCACTGCTGAAACGGCCTACTATTTACGACGCAAGTACGGGCATTCGCACACGGCCAGCGTGTTAGGAATTCCCTGATTTGCCATCGAGCACAAATCCAGTCACCAGTCCTTACAGTTTCACCTCAATATACTCACAGATGCTACAAAAACAACATATCTTCATAATAAGTAACATGAATATCAAAACGGTCCATTTGACAACATAATAAATAATGTATTATTGACAATTGATTAAAGATACAGTATAAACAACTAGCAACATCAAAATGAAAACAGTTAAATAAATAATTAATTATTATGTAAATAATGCAAAAGAACCAAAGTTATCAAATAATAAATAAATAAATAAACAAACAAATTGATGAATAAATAAATAAACAAATTAAATAAATACAATGATACATAAATTAATTAATTAAGCTAAATTAACTTACGTGAAATTTGGGTGTCACACACAATCTAATTTACATCATCAAGACCCTTGTGACAGTATCTAATGAACAACAGCACTTCAGTATTACACTCAGAAAAAATTAGTTTCAGTCCCATGCCAGGCTGCTTCTCTCCCCTGTGACAAGTGCCATCCCCATGGGCTTAAGTCTGGCCCCGGTCCCCCATTCACTGTAAAACAACAGGCAACTCCAGAAAAAGACTGGCTCCCCATTACCAATCGACAACACATTCAAATATTTTAAAGGCTGTGAGGGGAGTGGATGGCTGCAGAGAGAGGTGCATGACCTGGTGAGAAGTCTGCAGATGTCACTCAGCCCCTGATGTGATGTTGCCATTGAAACAGAAAGAGAAGAGGGGTGTAAATCCCCCGCCAGCAGCCCCCCGTCCTCTGTACTTGGGTTGCCCCATCCTGAGTTAATCCCACTTTATCCAGGAGAGCCGGGCTGTCAGATCTAGAGTGAGACGGGGGACAAAAGCAAGGCAAACATGGGGCTTTAGATACATTTTAATGATCGTTTAACAAGTCGCAGGCCCCCTCCGATTGGTTGGAGTGAAGCCCCACAGAATGAGTTAACTAAAGTAAATAGGCAACCATTGAGTGCAGTGAGAATACTTGTGCTCTGGCAAAGGGGAGCTTTTGAGCACCCACACCAAAGAAAAAGACAGCTGGGGAAAAAAACACACAACAAACAAACAAAGCAAGCTGTTTAAGTGACACAAACTCAATTCAGAGCCAATGAGCTTTGGAGTTGGCTGTCACCATTAGCATATGCTCTCCTTCTCCTTGTGCTAATTTAATTTTAAACATTTGGTAGGATACTTCATCCTCCCTTTGGTTTATCCTGTGTGTTGTTTGCAATTTCGTGAATGGGGTTTGGTAATGTCCCACACCCAACTTGAAGTCACAAAACATATGCATGTAGTATTGGTTGCCAAACTAGAATTCCAATGGCAAAATATACATTTACTGTAATTCCTTCCATGGATAGTGGGTGGACATATTGCTGGAGGATCGTCAGTACCACACTTGGAAAAAAACATAACATTCTAGTTGTTTCAACTAATTATTATTAGTTTTCGGACCAAATGTTACCTGAACAAAAAAGAAATGTGTTTGCTCAACTTGTCTCATATGTTCATTCAAGTAGAAATTATTATTTGGGCATAACTAAAAAGGCTGTGCAACTGGTTATACACACAGAGTTTTTAACATACAATGTTTTCAACGTACATATTTGTACTTTTAACAGAGCTGAGATTTACTTTGAAGTGCAAAGTTTAGCAATAAAGGTGAAATCAGTCATTGACACAGATGTGGTGGAATAGCAGGAAGATTGGAATGCCGTGAACCAAGAGATTGTGAGTTCAAATCCCAGGTGAGGACATGTTGATTATTAATTACTGTATAAATGAACATGCACAATATAATAATGTACAGTGTGCCAAATATGTACATTGTATGTTAAAATAACTGTGTATGTAACTAGTTCCACAGCCTTTTTTTTAGGTAAGATTGCCAAAAATACTTTCTAGTTGAATGAACATAAGAGACAATTTGAGCAAACACATCATTTTAAGTTGACAGATTTTTGGCTATGTTTTCTCATGTTGTAGGTAAGTTTGGGCCAACTATGTTTTCTTGTTAAGGTAACAGTTGGACTGAAAAGTTGAGTAAACTAAAAAAAAGGCAGTGGAACCAGTTATTTAATAATTAGTTGAAACAACTAGATCTACTGTAATAGCCTATTTGGTTACGTCTAATCTGTCTAAATCATAATGTATCTATGAACTACATACATTATGACCATAGCTCTTACACATTCTCAATTATTGTTTTTGCAATTTCCAGACATAAGTGCATATAATTATGACTATGTGGCAGGCACAAGTGTCAAGGGGCCAGATAGACCTACTGTAGGATATTTTGCACCAGTTTCTATTTAGCCTTTTAATCTTTGAATGGAAGAGATTCAAAATGTTATCTTACAGGCAAATAATCAAATTGTTTATAACTGTAATCTCATTGCATAATCTAAAATGGTTCTAAAATTGTTATATTTATCAGTAATTAGGCTATTTGTATTATCTGCTCACCGCTTGTGTTCCAAATGGCATTGGTTTGATTCTTGTAACCATTCTTCATGCATTCGTCCACGTACGACTTGGGGTCGCAGCCGGAAATCAGTATTTCTCTCAGGAGGGCGATGTAAGCAATGGCCAATCTCAGGGTATCAATCTTGGACAGGCGCTTCTCATAGGGAAAGGTTGGCACGTGGCACCGGAGCTCTTCGAACGCAGAATTGATACTCAGCATCCTCTTCCTCTCCCGGATGTTAGCGGCGTGTCGCTGGATCTTGTACGGGTGATGGGGCACAAACCGCCGCGGCCTGCGCTTGCTGATCTCGTGGGGCTCGTCCACCGAGGAGCTGTCCACTTCAGCACTGGCTCCAAGGCCGGGAGACTGCGAGTCCAGGTCAGTGAAGGTCATCTGCGCGTCCGGGAACATGGACTGGCCACCGAACGAGGACCAGGGCGAAAGCTGGCCCGTGACCGTGGTGCAGTCAAAGAGGAGAGTGTCCAACTGGGACTGGAACTGGAAGTTAGGGTCCATCTGGCCCCAGAAGGCAAAGTCTGTAGTGCCATCTTGATCCAAGTCAAATAATATATCTTCCATTTTAAAATCTTAGTGTTCAATTTGATTCAACAAGCTGTGTTCACCCGGCAGGAGAAAACGTGTAGCCTGCTGCACGAAGTAAATTGTGTTGTTCAGACATCAGTGCCTAGTTCAAACGTGCCTAGTTCGAAATAAAGTGCTTGTGGGAACCGTCGGGTGTGCACTACCTGTCACCTGTAATCTCTGGACTGTGTGACACGCACAGTGACACATCTCGAGGATTAAATAGTTCCCAGACTTCAATGTCTCGCGGCAGGGGGCTCGCACATTTTCTAAAGACTGAAAAGGGCCTCATTAGGACACACGCCCCCTCCTAATAGATCACTAATTGCCTTTTAAAAAGCGGAGGTAGAGATACAAAGGAATCAGTTGATCTTCTAATTATAAACTTCCCTCAAGTTGTTCCCTATACAACGAGCAAAGAGTAGCCTAACATTTACAAAGAAAATTATTATTTGCCATTAGTTCCTTGAGAGGCCTCTTGCTCAGTTTTGCCCCGCGTGTAGCACTTGGTCAACCGGGTGGCATCTGAATAGAATAGCTTTATAATTAGAACTCAGCTCGCGCCACACAATACTGTCAGAAACGTATGATAGTGCTCTTAATTATCAAGCCACGTAGCCCCTGATTTAATGTTTATTAATGTTGATAGGCCTACAAAACAAGCAATGTAAGACACTTTTTTTTAGTTGAAGGTGTTGGTACAGATCGAATTTTAAATACAGATTTAACATTTTAAATACAGATCGAATTTTAAATGCAAGGATCTTCCATAGCCTATACTGTAGCAGAACTGAATATGGTTTGATGTAAGTCAGGCTCTATATTATTTGCCTGCATCTACTTGGCTATTGCATTTTGTTTGTCATTTTGCATGTCTAAATAAATTGCAATTCGAAAACAACAATTAAAGCAAGTTGAAACAACACTTCTTATTCATTCGTGCGGGATTATTTTGGTCTGCTCACCACATAAAACAAGTTCATTTGCAGATGATATGACTTTTATTAGGCCTATGACTGATGAGCTAGCCTCTAAATATGGCAAATTTAATGAGATGTGTCTGCTGCCTATTTATTAAATCATGTTTACATTTCCTAACATAAGGTTTTGATGTTACCAGCCTTTAACGATGCTCGTTGAAAGGGGAGTGTTTGTCATTGCAAACACAGAAAGCAAGCCTGCTATCTCTTTAGTGGTTAGAGTACCAAGACACATCCTCTAGCGATTTTTTAACTTTTACTGTTGAAAAGCGATATCCCAAGTATAAATAGGCCTACAGTAAAGTAAACACACTAAAGTGGAAAAAAAGAAGTGTTGAGGAAAAGAGTGTTTTTTTTTTTTCAGACACAATTGCAAACTTCAAGGAGTGGGGCTTTCAAGGAGTTGGTCTGATGGGAATCCGTGAACTCTTCGACCTCCCCCTTGCTTGAGGAACAATTGACGTGCGATAGAGAACAAAAGAGGCCCACCCACCCACTTGTGCTACTGTATGTCATGACATACCTGCACCACCTATTGAGATGTGCCTTTTGTTAAGTAAATGAGTTGTTAAATGAGGTGAAAAGGAGACTGGAGTACCACTTTAAGCACGTCATGAACTGTAAACCCAAATGCATTTTTAACTCAAAAAAAGTTTAACCAAAAGTAAATGAAAAGTCATTATTACTTAATATGTGGTACTGACTCAAGAAGTCACATCAACTCAATTTTTAAAGTTATGATAAAAAATGAACCTTTTTTGGAATTGTTTTTATGTGTGTTTTTGCATGTACATTGAGTGATTGATTGATTAATCTTATGCAACACAAAGATAAATAACACATTTTCCTAAACTAATCCAATCATTTACATTTTAGTCATTTAGCAGACGCTCTTATCCAGAGCGACTTACAGTTAGTGAATATTCCCCCCGTGGGAATCAAACCCACAACCCTGGCGTTGCAAACGCCATGCTCTATCAACTGAGCTACATCCCTGCCGGCCATTCCCTCCCCTACCCTGGACGACGCTGGGCCAATTGTGCGCCGCCCATGAGTCTCCCGGTCGCGACAGAGCCTGGATTCGAACCAGGATCTCTAGTGGCACAGTGGCACAGTTAGCACTGCGATGCAGTGCCTTAGACCACTGCGCCACTCAGGAGCGAAGTGATCATTTAGTTAGATTTTTTTGCACCCTTGACTGAAATGGTTGTTCCAGTTTAAATGGTTTAGGTAGTCTCTTGTTCCTAACCCTGATAGTCATTATGAATGCAGGTTGTGGGTGAATAAAAATGTCAACTGTTTGATAGCCTAACTCTGGCTGGATTCCAATAGGAATTACACATCACTTTGCTTGCCAGCATAATGTGACTTGCAGGTAGGGTTGCAAAATTCTGGTAAATTTCCCAGGTTTCCACAAATCCCTTTAGGAAGATTCCTGGAAATCCGTTAACCATGGTTTTGTGAAAATCTGGTAATTTTGGGAAAGTTACCAGAATTTTGCAACCCTACTTGCAGGCCTGATGTGGCCTGTAAACCATGAGTTTCAGGCCACTGTATTAGGGTAAACGCTAGGCCTCAAAATAAGGTCTAATGAGATGTGTAACATATTGCCATAAAGAGTTGAATTATAATGATATTTGCATAGAAACTCACTTGGTGAAGGCCACAGGCCTGAAAATTAACAAATTCAACAACCATGTCTCTGTCACTAACATACAGTCACACTACAATTCACTCGAAAAGGTAAGGCACAATGGGAAATTATATAGATATATTGATGTGCACATATTTGGCAAGTTAGCATGCCGAAAGGCTATGGATATGATACAATAAAAATATCGATTGATCCCATGACACAAAGATGTTTAACTGATTTCGTTATTTTTATATTTAGTTTTTTCTATGCTTACTTCAACTTCGGGAAACAAAGAAAAGTAACATTTATTTTTCAAGGATCGAATTAAAATAATGACATTGAACAAGTTATTAATGAACTGATTACTTCAATCCCACTTGGCAGAGATGTCAGTTCAACATCTAGTTTTGATTTACATTTGGTTGACATGTCACCTAACATGAAATCAAGAAAAACTGTCACCTTGTCATTGGATTTAAGATCAAATGTGGGTATAAAAAATATGAAATTCACTTACATGGATTACTTTTTTTCAAATCCAATCAGTTTTCCAGGTCGATTCAACGTCATCACATTGAATATTTTGGTTGACATAATAATAATAATATGCCATTTAGCAGACGCTTTTATCCAAAGCGACTTACAGTCATGCGTGCATACATTTTTTTGTGTATGGGTGGTCCCGGGGATCGAACCCACTACCTTGGCGTTACAAGCGCCGTGCTCTACCAGCTGAGCTACAGAGGACCACTATGTGGAAACAACGTTGATTCAACCAGTTTTTGCCCAGTGGGATGTTTGTTCTTTCCTACAAGTGGAGTTTGAAAGTAGAACGACTTGATTAATGAGTGCTTCTCTATCGAGCTCAGCATCTTGTTTTTACACAGTTAAAAGCTCATAAAAAGGTTTTGGAGTCAGAAACGCTTGCGTAAATTAGGAAATGTGGGGTAATTATATATGACTAAAGTTTTGGCATCAAGTCAACATTCCTTTCCTCTCTTGTTGTGCCTCTGACGTAGGTTACTAGGTTATAGTCACCAGCATAGGCCTACATAGAACCTACAGGCTATAGCCCTAATGTAGACCACCTAACATAGCCATAGACCTACCATCTTTTAATTTTCTAACCCTATCCATCAAAATATTGTTTCAGATCCTTACGAAACGGTGTTGATCGTTTTATAAATCATATTTGAATATATTTGTAATAGTGGAAGAGAAATCTTCATTATTTTCCAAAAGTATAGTTCTGTTGAATTCTGTCAGTCAGAAATGGTCTTTAATTAGCCTACCCAGGCACAGTAGACTTCCTTTCCACCGCCAGACAGCGAGGATTAGAAAGCAATGTATTATCTTGACACAACAGCATAGGATTTTGATTGTAAGCTTGCTTATTCAAATGAATCAAGTTGCTATGGTGAAAACGGAAAACTATGAATAATTCCTGCTGCTCTTGACCTGAAGCACAGCCCAGCGTGCGAGGGCTTGTCAGAACCTTCTGCCAGACAGACATCGGTAGGTCACGCGCAGCTGACGGGCCAGGTTTGGATTGCAGTGAAGGACACGGCTGTCAAATACAGGACTTGCTCTGTGTAGCTAACAATATGTATTCAAATAAAGCCGTGGTCTGCTTTCAGTAGTTTTTCTATTTAGTTGCACGCAAATGGCAAAGATTCACTGTCACCTGTTGGCAAAGGATGATGCCTCTAAGGTCTGTCTAGTTTGTCTAAACAACACTAACGACAACAGGCCCATGGTTGGGGAGTAACTGATTACATGTAATCTGATTACAAAAAAGACACTACATTCATAAAAGATGTTTGCGGGAAAAAAAATACATTATGACACATTTCTGTTTTCTCAATGACATTCAATTCAGCATTGAATAAAGACACAAGTTTAAGTTTGTTCCACGTGAGCGAATCTGACCACAAATCACAGACCACTATGATGACACCGAATGCGATTGATGGATCCTTTTAGTCTTCTTCTAATGCTTCTAAGGGGAAAGTAATCCAAAAGTAACTGAAAGTAATCAGATTAGGCCTACATTGCTACATTTTGGGTAACCCAAATGTTATGTTACTGATTACAATTTTGGACAGGTATCTAGTAACTGTAACGGATTACATTTAGAAAGTAACCTACCCAACCCTGAACAGGCCAGACAGAGGGACCTTAAAACGGAGGAACGTCGCCATAGCCACGGGAAGTAGGGGTGCTGAGGGTGCTGCAGCACCCCCTGAAAAAAATCTATAAATATTAATAAAAAACAATAATATTGAAAAAAATCACAAACATTCACTGAAGTAGTGCACTGGGCCTTTACTAGCGGATCGATATAGATGTCTGTAGCGCTGGCAACAAAAAACTATTCAGCA